AAAAAGGGAAAAAAGATTTTTTTTTTTGATACAAAAGAAATGTTTTAAAAGTGATAAAGTATAAAATTGGTGCATTAGATATGATCTTAGTTTCAGGCCATTTGACGTGAACACTTACACTTATTTGAAGTTGGTGTAAAACATATATATAAAACATGGGCAATTAGAGGCCTGCGGCTAAATATATATATATTGATGATTTCTCTTATCGTGTATCTATTCGAAATGCACCATTTAACAATTGCTATAGACTGTTTAACAATATCATACGTTGTTTAAAAATTAACATTTATCATAGGCTGTTTATAATTAACATCTATCACAAGTCGTTAATGACTATCAATGCTGTTTTAAAATATTATTGATGGTTTAACATTTATCATTGGTTGTTTAACATTATCATAATAATATTACTTAACATTATCATAATAATATTACTTAACATTTATCATAGGCTGTTTAACATTTATCATAGGCTGTTTAACATTTATCATAGGCTGTTTAACATTTATCAATGGTTGTTGGTTGTTTAACATTATCAATGGTTGTTGGTTGTTTAACATTTATCAATGTTTAACATTTATCATAGGTTGTTTGGTTGTTTAACATTTATCAATGGTTGTTGGTTGTTTAACATTATCACAGATTGTTTAGGTTGTTTAACATTTATCATAGGTTGTTAACAGGACCAATGCTGTTTTAAAATATCATACGAACGTATATTGTTTAACAGTTATTATAGATTACTTAACATTTATGAAAGGCTGCGGAACTTTATCATAGTCTGTTTAAAACAAGTATGACCTCGTCCAAATTCCATATATTTTCAGATCCCATGTTGTATCTTTACGTCAATATTTAATGAATAAAGCGTATAAAAAATGAAAATAGTTAACAATTAATGTTTTATAGGAGACTTTCCAGAAAGGCCAGTCAAGAAATGAGAGGCCAGTCTAGCATAGGGTAAAAATCGAACAGCAAGTAGAAATTTTACCACCTCCATTTCTTGGTTAAAGGAGCAATCATTCCTTTTGAAATACAGCGGAAATATATATGGAAGCCATAAAACCCTAAGTATTTATACAGTTATAAGAAGCCATAAATGAATACATCTAACAAGCCCTTGATTAAAACAATGATAATTAACGAGCAAGGTGAATTTAATTCCCTTTCAATAAAATGAAATCTATTTAACTCATCGATGGCTAAAGAAACTCCTTTTGTACTATTAACAGACAGAATACACTATTAGCTACCAATGGGTGATAACAGAATTCAATCAAAATAATACTAAAATATTAACCAAAGTGATAGAAAAAAGAAATGATGAAGAGAGAGAGAGAGAGAGAGAGAGAGAGAGAGAGAGAGAGATGGGGTTTAACCTCCACTTGACACAAACTAGGTCATTTCAGGACTAATTTTACTTGATCAATTCGCTTGCATGTAGGGGTCTTTAGCTGTGGGAGGAAACCGGAGGACCAACTTGACTCAATGACAGACCCTGTCGGCCATCCATTTCCCGCCCCCCCCCCCAATATTGAAAAGAAACACATAAAACTTATTCACTAACAGGATAGGGACTAACTGGACTAATTATGACCAATTGCACACGCAATTTTTGTTTTACACGTTATCAGCCACCTATGGGTGATAAACAAATTAAATCCAAATATTAAAATATTAACCCCAAAAAAAAGAAAAAGAAAAGATCAGGAAACACCTAAAAGATATTTACTAATGATATATAAAGATAACACTAAAAACTTTGTACAACATTTATATGCTATCAGTCCTCCATAGATGATAACAGAATTAAATCAAATTAACACAAAGCCAAAAAAAAAATAATATAATAAATAAATCAAGAAAGACTTTAAAGTTATTCTCTGGCGATATTTATAGTAAGAGACGTCTGCACCAATTTACACTTTCGTTCTGTGGAAACATCTATTAAAACTTCCTGTTTTTTTTATTTCTTGAAGGGGAAAAAATATTAAAAAAAAAATGCACTTGTTTGGCTTTCATTTCAACATTTCTAGGTTTAAATATATATTAAATTTTGCTTCTGATTTTTTTGGGGAAAAAAAAGAGCTAGAGGCAAAAATTACTTGTTTGGCTCTTAGTTTTACATTTCTAATTGTTTAAAATTTAACACAAATTTTCATGGGGGAAAAAAAAGTCTGATAATTTCAGGCTTTTAGTAAACTATTAATAACAGTTATTCGGGGGAGGATCAGTTAAAAAAATAACGTCTGGCTTTTTGTTTCACATTTCTAATGTTTTTTAAATTTTAAACAGAACATATTTTAAGTGGTTATTTATTCAAGTCTCAGAAGAACTAATAATTAGTTTAGTTTGGTCTTATTTGATGATTCGATTGAGGTATGTAAAAAGAGACAATAAAAACTAATCAACATCAGCCTTTCCCTAACTTCAAATCCCACTAGGGGGTAGTTAAAAACATAAAGTCTGCATGGTATTTTTAGTTCCACATTTCTTATTTGATGATTCGATTAAGGTATACAATAAAAACCAATCAACAATAGCCTTTCCCTAACTTCAAATCCCACCCGTACTGTTTTTTCCATATTTCTAAGTTTTTAAAATTTAAACAGAACATATTTCAAGTGGTTATTTATTCATCACGACTCAGAAGAACTAATAATTAGTTTAGTTTGGCCTCATTTGACAATTCGATTGGGGTATGTAACAAGAGACAACAGCCTTTTCCTAACTTCAAATCCCACTTGAGGGTGGGTGGGTGTTAAAAACTGAAATATTTCAAGTGGTTATTTTGTCATCAAGACCCAAAAGAACTAATAATAAGTTTGTTTGGCCTTATTTGACGATTCGATTGGGGTATTTAACAATTCGATTGAGGTATTTAACAAGCGACGATAAACACCAATCAACAGCTTTTCCCTGAACTTCAAATCCCACCAGACGACTAAACTATAAACTCGACAAATAAATAACAAGTTAACCCCGGCAATTTACGAAACTAAATAAAGCCCGTAACTTTATAATACTACTTTGACCAATCAACGGCCGACAACCTATTTAGTCCTGCTCTAATTTCTAATCAAATAAATCCCATGAGGCGTGAATCGGGTTGATTTTCTGTGGGGTATTGATCTTTCGGAAATATCTCGCAGAATTTCCATCTCTGCTGTGTTTACTCTGCTTTATCCCTTAGATGGGATCAAATCTTTCGGTACGACTTACAGAAAAGATTAAGCTCAAACATGTTCAACACATATCTTAAAGATTAATAACGGCCTACGAAAGTCATTAAATCCATAATTATACATGTTTTGAGATTAACGAATAATTGTATAACATCAACGATAATGCTTTCAGCACGAAAAATATTTTTCTATACAATTATCCATGATTGATTTCGCATGTATTTTGTTAGTGAGGAGGATTTTATAGAAATGTTAGTAGGTTTAGTAAAAAGACTCTACATAACTCTTAAAGTGAGTGAATACCACCATGGTTTATTCTATCTGCAGTTGAAATGATGGAAAATAGATTTGAATTAGTCCATAAGGGTCCATTACATTGCAAACGATTGAAAATATATCAATACTTTTTAAATCATTACAGTAACTTATATCAATACTCTTTAAATCATTACAGTAACTTTATTTTTAGCAATGTAATTCATTACCATTACCCATCATTTTATGATTATATCAAAATGAAATGAAAGTTTAATGTCCCAATTTTCTGCTCCATCTGGGGTTTATGAAGACCTACAGTGCTACAGTCAACTCGTTTTTGAAATTCCACCTGTCAAGTGTTCTGTTACATGCACGACACCGTGTTCAAATGACCTTGGTTTTTCATACCATCCAAATGACTAGACTAGTAAAGGGGAGTAACTCTTGTCATATATTTCAAATTGACAAACAAAATACAATAAAAAGATCAGAGAAAAGTGCAATAAAATAATTTAAGTCATGGTGGTTTTAGCTTAACCAAGATCAAAGAACATATTCAACATATTCAGCTGGTCATAGTCAGGTTAGGCGCAATATAGATATTTTTAAGGCCATCCTCAGCATTTCATTTCAATAAACCATCATGTAAAAAAGGTAATAAATGATGAGTCAACATCACCTATCAATAAACCATTGTATTAAATAATTATAATTGATTCAAAAAAGGTATACATGATTAGAAATAATTAGCAATCAAGTAGTATTCCACTTTATCTTGTATCATCACCAATTCACCTCTCAGGTGTCTTTTTTGTTTTCAATAGGCAATATTTCTATAAATGATTACTTAGCATTTCAATAAACCACTCTGTTAAAATATCATAAATAAGTAGAAATGATTAGTGATCAAGTATTCTTCATCTTTTATCATCATCAATTTCCCACCTTTCAGGTATTTTTAATCTAACATTAACTGCTTTGACAGGTGAAAACCAACTCCACTCATCCATTTCAGTATTTTCACCAGAATACATCATATCACCTCTGTCATTCAGTATAACCACAGGGATTTTATCTACAATCTCTAATTACATTTTCGACTGATAGTCCTTTTAAAAAGAGAGAGAAAGAGAGAGAGAGAGAGAGAGAGAGAGAGAGAGATGGGGTTGAATGTTCACTTGACACAAACTAGACTAACATATGGTTCAATTTTATTTCAATAATTTGCTTACGAGTAAGGGTCTTTATCTGTGGGAGGAAACCGGAAGACCCGGAGAAAAACGATGAGGTTGAGCAGGTGACCCTAATCCTTGTCATGTACAAGCGGGGAATCGAAAGCACAGACAAGAGGGAAACCATGCTGAAAATTTCTGAGGCACTTTCTTCACTGTGAATATCCGACTTCAGTTATAAGCAGAAATATGTGATGGACAGAGAAACAGACTGATGTACCACTGAGACACAGTGGATCCCACCATAATTAAAAGCAGAGTTACTGTGTCCGAAAATGTGACAGACAGACTGACGCACTGACATATTTTTAACTAAACTCACCTATAATACATCAAGTAATCTTAACACCTGATCTGTTAAAAATCCACTCATGATACAGGTAACAGATATAGTTAGTAACGTCCTATAAAGGTGTCTTAATTATAGGTAAGTTGTTCGGGCCTACCACTAACAACAGGTTAAAAAATATTATAGACAATTATGCAGTCTAAGTGAACCACAAAACAAATAGTACACAGCCAAATGAATCAGTCTGTTTAATTACTCGAGACACACACTAGACATTATTGTAAGAGACCATTCACCAGGTAAAATAAGATGTAATGCCACCCTGACAGCTCATCAAAATACAGAGCTAAAAGGTGCACAAAAACAACACAAAAAATTCAACATATATCAGGTGAAAAGAGGTTGTAAAGAGTATTTAAGTCTTTAATATTGGTGTGTAAAAGTAACTTCAGCCCAAGAACTCCACACATGTCAGGAAAAACAGGCTGTTAGCTAACACAATTGTAAGAATTTCGAACAGGTAAAAATCCAGTTATGTCTTTACAATTGATAAAACAGCCAAATTGTTCTACACAAAACACGAATACACCTCAGACAATCTAAAGAGTATAGGACAGGTGAAATCTACAGGTATGTTTTTACAATTGGTAAAAGAGGTGTGTAAAAGGCACTTAAGCCGAACAGCTCTACACAAATCACAAATAACACCTCAAACAATCTAAGGAGTTTTGAACAGGTAGATCTGACGAAAGAGGTCTGTAAAAGGCATTACAGCCAAATGGCTCTACACAAATCCCAAATAAACCTCAGAAAATCCTGAACACACTTCGGACAATCTAAAGAGTTTAGACCAGCAGGTAAAATCCAGGTGTGTAATAATTGACAGGTGTTACAAGTAGTTAAATCTCGGTATGAATAATTAATAGAATGTTAATTAGATGACGAGTAGTTAATTAAATACAGGTAAATATAGGTAAACATAATGTACAGGTAGAGACCTACTTTCAGGTATATAGATACATTGTGGGAAATTAAATATTACTATAGAATATACATGAGAGAGAGACAGAGAGAGAGAGAGAGAGAGAGGAATCAGGGTTCCCGCGGCTTCGTCAAACATTTTTTCAAGGATATTCAAGGATAAATATACGTCAAATTCAAGGACATTTTTTAGCCTAAAGTTACAATTTTTCATCTTAAAAATAACCAAAACATTACCAACTATCGTTATAATCTCATATTTAAAAGGCATTGAAGACATTTGAAACAAAATTAAGGATCTCAACTGAAATTCAAGGATATTTTCCTATTTCCGCGAAATTCAAGGATATTCAAGACCTTGAAAATGAAATTTTAAATTTAAGGATATTCATTGATTTTCAAGGACCGCGGGAACCCTGGGAATGGCATTTAAGATCCACAACTAAGTGATTTCAGGACTATTTTTGATGATTCACTTGCTTGTGGGATTCTTTAGCAGTGGGAGGAAATTAGAAAGCCTGGAGAAAACCCACAAGGTTAGGCAGGTGACCCTAGTCCTTGTTAATTGAAACCATGCTACTTGACCCAGTGACAGATCTTATGATCTTAAGTACATTAGGCCACCCAACCTGCAAAACTATGAAAAATAAAAGGTATGTCAATACAAGCTAGTTTCAACACTGATTTAATAACATTATAAAGTACTTTTTATCTCACCTGGGAGCTCGTTAGAAATAATGTCATTGTACAGAGATGGACAAAATACAACAATTTATATATTTACATAGTAACAATGTTAACTCTAAGTGACTATCAATAGACAGTATGCATGCATGCGCTGGGGAAAGGTGTAATTAGACTTGTATATTGTATATCCATATGGTTTTATATAAATCAATCAAGTTTTCAACATTAGCTGTGATTTGAATTATCGATAGTTTAAATAGATATGCTGAGATGGGGGAAATAAAGTTATAACTATTAAAGATACATTATGGGAGATTAGATAAAGAGCTGGCAGTTCGCACTATAATAGAAAAAAATAGATAATTTAAAAGCAATTTGCTGAAAATTTCAGTCAAATTGATCCACTATGAACCAAGATTTTAGCGATTGAATTTTCGGCTTAGCCTCGATCATCATTACTAAAGTCGGTACGATAAAAAACATAGTAGGCTAGTGATGACATCGAGAGTTGATTATGGTTTGGATAATGTGTACGCTGGACTTCGATTTTTTCGTACTGTCCATATGAACCATGCCAGGCCCTCTATCCTGCACCACTGACAAGGAAGAACTATGTTGAAAATACTGAGGAACTTTCTCTACCAAAACTGGGATCAAACCTCGGACCTCTTGGTCAGTAAGCCAGCACCTTAATCACTAGGGCACCATGGACCCAGGTCTTTAAAAAAATTCAGGAGATGCTTGTTCCACAGTTAAAATATCAAAAATATAATTGTAGAACCATAAATCAAAAATTATGATCATATGTGAAAATGTCCAAAACTCCAATGCCCCTTGAAAGACACATTTTAGACCTCCACGTAAAAGGAGCTCTCGTTTGCCTGGAAGCTTCTGGATGTTGTCAAGGTGAGTTTTTCATTGCTTGTCTCAATAGTCCAAACTGACTCTCCTCAATGAAAATAATTAAGAAAAATATAACTAAATTAGCCTACTATGTCATTCTCAACATTTTTTACTTCAAGAATCGTTTGACTCAAATAACTTGAATTGATCTACATATTTATCTTTTGTAAAGATCAGTAATAATGCAAAAAAAAATGAAATAAAATGAGATGGGGTATAACGTCCTTCTGTTAAATAATGCAGCAAAAAAAACCCAAAAAAAAACCCTCTCCTTTAAGGTTTCAGAATACCTTTCTCAGGAGAGCAATTTTCTCTTTTTTCCAATTTTAGGAGAGATTTGTTTGTTCTCCAGTTCTCCAGGTATTCATGTGAAAGCTTCAAATTGTACTGAAAATGTGTGGGAAAATTCACCCAAATAAAGTCAACACATACCAAAATTCTTGAAACTTTTTTCAATCAATCCAATCACTAACACAACGTCACACTGATATTTTCCAAAAATATTTTCTTACCTCCCCAAACTTATGTCCTAGGAGTAACTTGGTAAACTGATTAAAGATATCATCGTCAGCTGAACAATATAAAAAAAAACTGATGGTGAGTCGTTCAAGCAGAAACATTTCGAGAAGACTAGATTAAATAATGTAGAGAGGACGGTATATGTAATGACTCTGAAGGGACTCGATGTATCCACAATGGAGACGTAACTTTAGAAAATCTAAAAAGACATCTTTTACACAAATTCATACAAATACATTACAAAAGAATATAGAATTTTTTTTAAACTTTTAGACTGAGGTTTATGTAGCATTAAATACCTAAATTGTACAAGGACAATAAGTCTTGAAGTAAATAACTGAATAATATCCAAAAAGAAAAATTTTAGAAAATCTAAAAAGACATCTTTTACACAAATTCATATAAATACATTACAAAAGAAAATAGAATGTTTTTAAACTTTTAGACTGAGGTTTATGTAGCATTAAATACCTAAATTGTACAAGGGCAACAAGTCTAGAAGTAAATAACTGAATAATATCCAAAATAGAGACATTAACTTTAGAAAATCTAAAAAGACATCTTTTACACAAATTCATACAAATACATTACAAAAGAAAATAGAATGTTTTTAAACTTTTAGACTGAGGTTTATGTAGCATTAAATATCTAAACTGTACAAGAGCAATAAGTCAAGAAGTAAATAACTGAATAATATCTAAAATGAAGACATTATATTACTTCAGATATCCTAAAAAGGCTTCTAGAATGTTTTAAAATTTTAGACTGTTGTTAACTGAGGTTTACTGAGTATTTTATACCTAAATTGCACAAGGGCAATAACTCCAGAAGTAAATAACTCCATAATCATTTAGACACATTCATTTTTATTCAACTGTTCTGGAATTCTGTTAAATTTTGTTCTAATATATTTTACAGTTTTTTGATCAGTAAGAAAAATGAATCTTGAAAAACAGAGGTCACAAACATTGTAAATTTATTGTCATGCATAAATGTATACAAAAACCCCCTTTAAATTCCTTTCCACATGGCTAGTTTCATTGAAATATCAGGTTCACCTCTTCATATCAAACCCCTTTTACAACATTAACACACTAATAGGGTAAAAATCGTTTAAATGTCAAACTTGCATTTAAACATATATGGCTGTTTACTTGTTTGTCCTTAATTCATCCTTTTGAAGGTTATTCTATTTTAAGCAACGTTATTTCATGGCGGTATAAGAAATGAAATGAAATGGGGTTTAACATCCTACTGTTCTGCTCCTATACTGGGCTAATGAAGATGGGCATATGCCGTACAGTGTGCTATGAGGGAAATTTTGCCCGGGCAGCGGCACTATTGCCTACTCTTATATCGAATTCCAACTGCCAGGGGATCTTTTACATGCATTCCAAAATATACACGGGACCTCGGTTTTTCGTATCATCCGAAGGACTAGACAGCTGTCCTTGTCATAGCGGTATAAGAGATGTTGTCCAAAAACATTAGATTTGCCATTATTTTATTTAACTGAATCCCTTGCAAACTACTTTTAAAGTTGAATCTGTAAAAGAAATACAAGTCTAAAGTGGTTTAGTTCAGTTCAGTATTTACAAAGATATGATGAATTGAAATCAACTTGATATGCTGGCATTGTTTAATATTAAAGATACATTATGAGAGATTCGATAACGAGGTCGCAGTTCTCACTATAATAGTTAAATACTAGCTTATGTAAAGACAATTTGCTGAAAATTTCATTCAAATTGATCCACTATGAACCGAGAACTAAGCGGTTGAAATTTAAGGCTAGCCTCGATCATCATTACTAAAGTCAGTATGATAAACTCGATTATCCATTTAATCATTAAATTGTGAAGGAAAGTTATGCATTAAAACAGCTCATAATCCACTAAAGATCGCAGGCTAGCGATGCCATATAGAGTTGATTATGGTCTGGATAGGTTAATTAATGTCAAATTAATAATTTAGATAACATTTCAGGCCTAAAGAAAGACCTGCAACAGACAGATTTAGCTCTTGCATAATGTATGTTTAAGCCATGGAAAAATTTTATATTTCCAAAAAATGCAAATTGCAATTAGTATATTATTGATAAATATAATGGAAGGAAATGGGGTTTAACATCCTACCTGATTGATAAATCAATACAGAATTTGTATTAAAACTAATAATATATAAAATGGTTCTATCCTTTTCAGCATTAAGA